GGGTGTTCTAAATTGGTTCATTCCTTATAACTTTGTCATCTTTTCTTTTTTAGATCTCCCAAATACTTTGCCACCTTTTCTTTTAATTAATGAATTTGTGGTTCTTATTATTTCTCTCTCCTCTGCACATATTTCAAACACACAGTTTTTACTTTATTATTTCTTGTGCCGGTCAAACATGGAAAAATAATGAGGGACGGAGGGAGTATTATACTTCATGTGTTAATACGGATCGATAATATAGACTGAGTTAGGAAAAATAACGCAGATCCACCATTTTTATTCATTTAGTCCTCTTTTGCTCAAAGTGCTTGAGTAATAAATTGCGTTGCTTTATCTAATACTCCCTTCGTTCCGATAATATTGTCTCATTTTACATTTTCGGGAAATTCTACTAAAATTGTCCCATATCAAAATTGGTAAAGTTTTGTGTTGCTCTAAATCATTCTTAATTTATTCTTACTTTATCAATTAATACCACTAAACTCACTTTTCTTAATAATCGTGACACCTCATCATACTACTTTCACATTGAAGTTCAGTGTATTGTGCGAATGTGTAGCTCCTGATTGCAATGGGGGATGTCCTATTCATAGGAAGTGTAGTTAATGGTCTCAGGACTGTTTTGGTCATCGGTTATGACGATTTCAAATTTGTCATAAAGGTTGATCAATTACAATTAATACCTTCCTTAATCACATTAAAGAGCTTAATAATACATAGAAAACGCTACAATAATTAAGATTAAGGCTTGTGAACGCTCCATTAATTTGTGCAGACAACCCTCTTTAATGCCATATAAACTGTCAAGTTCTTGCTCCAACAATAGCCCCCTTTCGAGAAGTTGACGTCTATGATACACGGGTCGGACCGTTAAGCGGCAATTTGTCTAAATTTTGAAAGAGCTTATACTTCGCATCATGGTTCAATGCGCCTATTGATTCATCAACGACTTGTCACGACGTGTTGATCAATTCATCTGATGAAATGCTTCCGTCTTTCTTTATGGTAACTCCCGATCGAATCTATCATGGTTGCTTAAAATAACGAAGAATGAAAGTCGACATCTTATCTTCTTTCCTTCAAGATTATGTTCACGACAATGAATTGGAACTTCGTCTATAGTGATGTTGACACTTCGATTGGTGAAGGGAGCTTCGTCCATTGCTAGAGATGATGAATTGGGTTGCATGAATGTAATCAACATCCTGCAAAAACTTTGAATAATATGTCGTTTGTAGTTTTAGCAATATTGTCGACATGAATGTTTATTATTTATGTCAATGTCATTTGTATTGTTTCCTTATGTTTTGGAGTTGTTCGTTGTCATGCTCTTGGAGCATATGCTTATGTTGTGTATTTCTGTAGTTTTGGATGTGGTTGTTGCCCCACACGGCGATGTCACTTGTATGTGTACTGTTGTTGTTTTGGCCAAAACATTACGGAGAATCGGTGACGTTTATACTCATGTTTAACGTACATGAAAACCCCACTTCTTCCCCTACAATTCTATAAGCCCCCTGTCAATTGTGTTTTGACGTGTTGTAAGGCTTTGTAAGCCCCTCGTCAATTGTGTTTTGACGTGTTGTAAGGCTTTGTAAGCCCCCCATCAATTGGGTTTTGACGTGTCGTAAGACTTTGTTTGATGTATGTAAATTCTATAAGCCCCCCGTCAATTGTGTTTTGACGTGTTGTAAGGCTTTGTTTGATGTATGTAAATTCTGTAAGCCCCACGTCAATTGTGTTTTGACGTGTTGTAAGACTTTGTTTGATGTATGTCAGGATTCCGTCATCGTCGCTTGTTGATTGTACCTGTATTTTCTAAGGCTGGCCGTTGTCTATAAGCCAACGGCCCTCCGATGCTTAGGTTAGTGATCATTTATATGTAAAATAAAGTAGAAAATTAAGAATGAAACAAATTTAAATGTACTGTATTTCGGCTTGTCAAAAACATGTATGTCATCTTAAACTTTCAACCAATATGCCTCTGTTCAATGATTTGAAGCATCTCGCTGAATCATTCTGTCATACATTCAGACTCGTCAAAACTTATCTGCCATCTTGGACCTTCAAGAAATATGTTGAGCCATTATGTCCTAGTTTGACAACTCATTCATTTGGCCTTGAATAAGATTTCCCGTGCCCCCTGTCGTCAAAACTTTGAAGAGATCTGTTTGCTTCGTTAGGTGGAAGGCGATTGTGACACGTTCCTGCCTTTGACGTTTTGAGCAAATGTCATCCTGTCAATCGTCGGTTTTGTCAAATGCAATAACGTGGTGTCTCTACTGACTTCCAAAGCCCGACACATCACTAGAACCACCAGATCGTCGGTCTGCACGATCGCGCTCTTGACGTTTCGAACCAAATATCATTATGTCAATCGACGATTTTGTCAAATGCACGAACATGATGTCTCCATTGACTTCCAAGACCCGACACGTCCCTAAAACCGGTAGATCGCCGGCCTATGTGTTTTCTTCCCTTGAGACTCGTTGGATGGTATGTTCGTCGAATCAAGCCGTCCTGATTTTGACTGTGTCAAGGTTGGCATCATTTTGCAACTCTTTGCTGCATATACATGATTAGTTTGATTCATGATTAAAAAAAGGAGATGTTACTTACCTAGAGTAATTTCACCCTAAATCATTGACAATGGTGAAACTCGTAATGAGTTCTTCATATTCGACTTTGGTATTTGCGGTTTTGGAATAACAATGTGTTGTTCGTAAAATATTGTCCCCTTGTGATGATTTTCGAAGGATTTCTGGTTTGATTACAACTTACTGATTGCTTTGCTTCTGAAAATGCGCCTAAATACCCAATCACATAAGGAAACCCCAGAGGTACATTTTGATGAAACCATCACATCATCTGTGTACACTTCTACGGTTTTCCCAATTTGATTTTTGAACGCCATCGTCACTACCTGTTGAAAGTTGCCCCTGCATTCTTAAGTTCATAAGGTGTCTTTGAGTTCAATGAAATACAACCAACGATGATGGTTGGTATATGATCAATCGACAAGACGATATGCTTCGTTTTTCATTCATAGTTTTCGATTCCATCTTGAATCATGCCATTGACGTTGAGCTATGACCCTCCATGGATTATAGTTTTTCTTGCACGATGCCCCACGGTGGGCGCCAAATTGTTTAAGCAAAATTTTGATAAGATTAAAACTAATTAAAAAAAGAAAATTATATGTAGGATAGGGTCTCACACAAGAACAATAAGGAAGATGACAAGTGAGCAAATAAGAGTGAAGTTCAGTGTATTGTTCGAATGTGTAGCTCCTGATTACAATGGGGGATGTCCTATTTATAGGAAGGGTAGTTAATGCTCTCAAGACTGTTTTGTCCGTTACTGACGGGTTGGTCGTCCGTTATGACGATTTCGAATCTGTCATAAAGGTTGATCATTTACAATTAATATCTTTCTTAATCACATTAAAGAGCCTAATAATACATAGAAAATGTTACAATAATTAAGATTAAGGCTTGTGAATGCTCCATTAATTTATGCGGTCAACCCTATTTAATGCCACATAAATCGTCAAATTCTTGCTCTAACAGGGATAACGATTAGAGGTACATTAACTGAAATAATGTTATCAAATAAACATTTTATGTCCTTAATTTTGTGCTATATTAAAGTACTTAATATATTCAACTGTATCCCATTAAATAAAATATTGATATCACTACGAAGATTGAGAGCTCGTTTGGTGACTCTATTTTTCGGCTTATCATGCTTTTCAACCAACTTTTTAACCACACACAATTTTTGACTTCCGCGCTGAATTGTGTGATAATAAGAAAAAGTAAGGTTATAGTTACTTTGATGGCTGTATTGGTTGAAGTTATTGTAGATGAACAATTAGCTATTTTTTTATATAACTTTTTCTTTATTTTATTAATAAAATATATTTTAATTTTTTTTTTCATAAATCAGCATAACCAGTCAATACAGCCACTTCAGCCAGAACTTCGGAAATTTTAGCAGAATCAGCTGATTCAGCCGATTTCAGTATTATCAATCGGGCTCTGACTGTATGAACCTATAAATATTATATACTTCATCTGTCTCTTTTTAGTTGCAACAATCAACATTTCATGTTTGCCAACACACAACTTTGACTGTCATTATATTTAATTCTATATTAGTAAAAATAAAATAAAAATCAGATTATAAAACTTAGTAATGAGTCGAATTTAACAACATTTTTCAAAAAAAAAAATCACATACATTAATAAATAAAATGTAGTCAAAGTAAAGTACATCAATAATGTCTATATTCCAATGTTGCAATTAATGAGATACAGAGGATAGTACATCGTAGTGACTCCATTTTAACAAAAAGAGTATGGGTAGTAATAAAAACGCGAGTAGTGAAATGTATCGTTGCTAAATCATATAAGTGTCAAAGGAGAGGTATGTGCTCTATTTTTCGTATGTAGTGACTTTGTGGATTACATGTATTTCATCAGAGTCCAATGAAAGAAGATGAGGTGCAAAAGTGGGATTATTTTGAGATTATTTAAAGGTGGGATTATTATGAGAACACCAGTGAAAGGTGAGATTATTCTTGTCAATTTTTCCAAAAAAATGATGACGTAGTTCACCATTTGATCTACGTCATCTGTATCATTGTCCTCATCTGAAGAGCTACAAAGAGAGAGAAACTTTCTTGTTTCAAGGGTGTGGAAAACAGTTGAAACTTGAAATGGAAGTAATTATAAACAAAAGCAACTTTTGCTGAAACTCACCATTCATTTGGAAGGAGAGAATCAAAATTCAAGTTTATTGCAAAAACAAATGTTGCCATTACTCCATTTGTTAAAGCGACTTTAACTGTATCCCATTAAATAAAATATTTATATCACTACGAAGATTGACTGTATGAACACATAAAAAAATATTACTCCGTATATACTTGGTAGTGACTCCTTTTTAACAAAAGGAGTATGAGTAGTAATAATAACGCAAGTCGTGAAATCTACCGTTGCTAAATCATACAAGTGTGAAGTGTTAAAGCAGCGGCATGTGCTCTATTTTTCGTATGTAGTGACTTTGCAGATTATGGGTGCGTTTGTGTATTGGCGGTTCCGCCAAAAAACACAGGGTTTGACCGTTTCGGCGTTTTTGATTGGCAAATCCGCTGATTTTTTGTGTTTGGTAAAACAGAGGGTCTGAATAGCGGCTGGGATGAAACCGCCGAAAACCAAAACGCTGAAAATTGGAGCGTTTAGGTTTCGACAGTTGGGAATAAACGCTAAATTCACTCAATTGCCCTCTCATCTTCCTAAATAATTGCAAACGTTTGCTCTCTTCGTTCGTGCTTTCTCTGCTCACCAACGCAAGTTTCCTTTCTCTCCTTCGTTCGTGCTTTCTCTCCTCACCACACAGCTGCAATCTCAAAGGTACGTATTGCTATTTCTATCATTCGTTTGTAAATCTTCCGAATTTGTTGTTTCTCGTATTTGTCTGCTACGTGCTCAAACAAAACCTCAAGCGCTAAAAAGGACATTTCAGCAACTGCCAGAGCTTCTTCTCCCTACGTATGCTATGGCCCAGGCCAGCAGTGGCTTAGAGGATGCTACAGCCAGGCTAATTAAGTACTAGTTGTTGAAATACTTTGAGCCTGTTTACTAACAGAAATATTTTCTGTTTTTGCAAAAATTTGAAAAACTGGAGATACATAAATTAGAAAACGTGTTTACCTAACCGTTTTCCAAAAGGAAAAAAACGAAACGTATTTCGCCTCTTCCTCTTGAAATGGAAAAGCGACATTTCGACGTTTTCTGAAGTTAGAAAACGCGAAGCTACACTGAAGCTATTTACTCGCTCGCCTTCTCTTCCGCCTACCTTATTTACTCACTCGCCTTCTCTTCCGCCTACCTTCTTTACTCTCATCTGGCCTTAACTGCGCTCTACCTTCCTCTGCCTACCATCTTTACCATCGCCTTCTCCCTTCCTATTAAAGTGGCACACTTGCTTCCCCAAAGACATAGCACATCTTCTCTAACGCTTTGTAACTCGTAGCTTCACATGTCAACCAAGCTCCAGACACACCAAACAGGGCGTCGCTGCTAGGAGCTACACCCCGACATCATGGAATCTCTCAATTCTTCAGTCGACTCGTGTTCTGTCAATGAGTTGAAGGTAATCTCTGAAATTAAATGACATTTCCAGTTTACCTTGTTGAAAATTCTAATTAGATTGGAAACCTGAAAGCAATTGCAGCCTGAAATTCATACCCATGTGACTCTTCTACCATTTTCAAGGCCAATTGAGCCTAATTTGTTTTCAGGCTTTTTGTGATGTAGTAGTCTACGATTAGTAGGTATTTGAGTTTTTACTTTATTTATGGGGTTTTAAGTAGTTTTAATAAGTTTTGATATGTAGTCAAATTCTTATTTGAGTTTCTGCAATACAATTTAATAGTTTAAATAAGTTTTATTTTATTTTTCATTTACCCCAGTGCCGTAAAGGCTCCCACCTACGGTGGGGTAAGGAGGGGAGGGGTCGGATGTACGCAGTCTTACCCCTGTACTAAATCACAGAGAGACTATTTCCGGATGACCCAGAGTGAAAATCACGTCCAAAATTGCATGGACTGACTGCTGTTCCATAACAAAGAAGCGCATGCAGTTTAAATAAGTTTTAATAATTTACTTTATTTGAGTTTCTGTAATTTGCAGTCAAATTCACCCTACTAAACTTGTTGTTGATTTCTATTGAGAGAACCTATAGAAACTAGTTGTGTGACTAATTTATTCTGCTAATTTGGACTACCTGGACTGGGGTGTTTGGTTTTGGCAGAATGTATGGGGGTTCATAGTTAAACCATTTGGGGTTTAGATTGAAGAAAATAGGCAGGGAGGCATAAACAACTGTTTATGTTAGTTGGAAGTAAGAGCAATTTGACCTCCAATTTGTCTATACCATATATTGTTTTAAAAAAACAATTCAAGCCCTTATTTTGTTAACAAGATTTGCTTTTGGATTATTGTACTCAATTTTTTCATCATTTAGTTCATTTTCGGATAACAAAGTGAGCCCCGAGGGCTATAAAACCTATGTTATTGTGACTTAGTTGTTGTTTACTATGCTTTTGTACACGCTGAAAACTTGTTAGGATTGTAGAAAAGCATTTCCTACAATGTTGTGTTTGGGGGGTTCAATGCAGTTGGAAACTTTTCTATGACTCGATGCGTTGAAGTCATAAATCCTATGCCGAATGTGTCAACCCGTGCTTATAATGATTCCATCGATGCACTTAGAGATGTTGTCCGATGTGAGGCCTTTATGGCTATGCCTGCAGACCGACAATTGGATTGGGTTTTGAGATTTGATTCTAACTAGTTCGATTGTGTTTGGTTTTCCTAATCTATGTTATATGTTTTTATCTACGTGCACTTGAACACTTTGTTAGAACAATATTTCTCTATGTATTGTTTGTCGAATTATTGAAAGTATTTGTTACATATAATGTGATTTTGCATTTTTCTTGCACTTAAAGCATGCATGTTAAACTCTATTGCAGATACACAATGTCACAGTATGCCAATGGTGGTGATATTTCAGACACTACAAGTGATGAGGATGATGAGTTTGGGGCTCTACTATTAATGGCTACATGCGTTTTAGTTGACGTTGAAAGAATTCCATGTCGAACGTCTATACTGACAGGTAACGCTTATATCGATGAATTAATGACATGTCATCCCTTAAGATGCTATGAGAGCTTTAGGATGAACCCACACGTATTCCTACGTTTATGTGAAAGGCTTAATAATTTGGATGTTCTACACGATTCAAGATATATAAGGGTTGAAGAACAATTAGGAATAGGTCTTTTAGTGTTATGCCAAGGGGCGGGCCAATGTACATGTGCAGAGCGTTTCCAGCATTCAATGCGAACAATTCACTTATGTGTGAAGCGTGTGGTGAGAGCAGTTGCACGATTGGGCAATGAAGTTATAAGGTGGGTTAATAGGGGCCCCGTTCAACCGGAAATTTAGAAAACCCGAAATGGTATCCTTATTTTGAGGTATGTGTAAGCTTAATTACGTTTTTCAATAATTTGGTTAACTCATACTATTAATGGTGTACAATTTTTGTAGAAATGTGTAGGTGCCATTGATGGTACTCATGTAGCAGCCTCGGCACCCGCTTCCAAACAAAAGACGTTTCGCGGTAGACATTCAACGTTCACTCAAAATGTCATGGCGGCTTGTAGTCATGACATGTTGTTTACGTATGTATATGTGGATTGGGAGGGAAGGTGCAATGACTCAAGTATTTTTAGATGCAATTACAAGAAGCAAAAATGGGTTACCCACGCCTCCTATCGGTAATACAATAATTATGCATTTTGTATTGATCATGTCACTATTTTGATAAAATAGGTTCCCAGTGCATTTGCTATTGACTTCAATGTAGGTTATTACTATGTTGTTGATGCTGGCTATCCAAATGTTCCAGGTTTTTTAGCCCCATACCATGGAGAGAGTTATCACTTAAAAGATTTTCGATGCCAAGGACAAATACGTAATAAGCAAGCTTTATTTAACTACCAACACTCGTCCTTGCGTAATGTGATCGAGAGGTGTTTTGTAGTACTAAAGGAAAGATTTCCCATTCTAGACATACCGCGTGGTTATCCATTGAGAAGGCAGGTTCAAATTTCCATAGCTTGTTGTGCACTGCATAATTTCATTCGCATGCAAGATAGGAACGACCGTTTGTTCATGGAGTATGAGGAAGAGGATATGATATTTAACAAGGCGACAAGCACACATGAAAATGGATCACTCAAATTTGATATGTCTCAACAACAACGAATGCATGAAATTCAAGAAAGTATTGCGAATGAAATATGAGATGATTACGATGTATGAGATATCGAAGTACGACTGCTATTCTGATTAACATAATCTCACTTATTGAACTTTCAATGTTGAGGAACATTTATGTTAAACATTTGTGTTATTTCAAATGTTTGTAATTGTGCATTTCTTTTCCAACTATTAAGTCAACGTCTCCTAGTAAAAATGAAATGGAAAATTGAAAAACTCTGGTAAACATGTTTTCTGATTGGGAAAACAAAAACAGAAAACTGGAGACCTGAAAACAGAAAATGAAAACAGAAAACTGTCTATGTTAGTAAACATGCCCTTAATTGCTAATGGTGATACTTTACTGTGTTTCCTTTTTTGTGTAGAATCTGTCTTCTCTTGTTTATCATGTTTGTAAATCTTCTATCATATATTCATATTTCTTCTGAATTGCTATTTTGATTGCAATTCAAAATTATAGGTTCCTTTGGTTCCCCTTTTACATATTGAAATTAAAACTCAATAACTTGATGTCTGGTTAAGACAAACAACACTAGAAGATTGATTTAAAACATTCTTGTTAACATATGGAAATACAAAGAGATTCCAGCCAGATGAAAACATAAAATGTAAGTTTATACTAATGCACATAGTGAAGTATTAAGTAATAAACTTACTAGTTCATATATGGAAGTAGTGATTCCCTGGACATGATAATGTTTGGTTACCTGGAAAGCAATGGAAAACATTTCCAACCTTGGAGTGACTTGTAAAACTTTCCTTCAAAGCATTTTCCAAAAAATGCTCTATTTGCTAACATAAACTCAAACTTAGAAATCAACTTTCATAAATCATAAGTTTATTTTTTCTTTTCGCAAATATTTTCCAGGATGCAAATATGCCCTTAGAGCATCACATCTTAGATAGTCACTTCATCCAATAACATCTCATTTATGTCTTACTTTGGAGTATGGATACGGTGATGGAGTGATGGTAGATTTGAATGTTCCTGGTCATGTTTATAGATTTTCACAAATATGAAATTATTTGGACTCTTTAATGACTTTAAAGCATGCTTAGTTAGATTTTTTGATCTGATTAACCTGAAATTTGGGAAAAGAAACAATCAACTTAATAGTTCAATTCACATATGGAAGTAGTAAGTTTATACTAATGCACTGAGAGATATAGTTTTATATATGGAAGTAGTGATTCCCTGGACATGATAAAGTTGTGTTTACTGCTAGAGAAATATAGTTTTATAAAAAACATTCAGCACATACACACACAAATACACAATCTATGTGATAGTTCATACGACGTATTTGGTTTGAAAAAATAGAGTGCATGCACTACATTGACAAGGAAACAATTATACCTTGCTTGTCAAATGTCCAGTTTCACTTGACGTATATACTTTTCTTTTTACTGAGCTGTTTTGTGTGTTAACGTATAGGCTAGTGGGAAATTTTTAACATTATGTGAAACCATAATGTTCTATAATACACACACACATATAGGTTTTGGTTCAAATAAGAACATGATCTTAGGAGAGAAATGAGAATGAATCTGGACCGTTAGATTTGCTTTAAGTTAAATTCAATGTGAATTAGATAAAACTGTAATGTGCATTAGGTGAAATTGAAATGTGCAACACAAAGCGTATGATACAATGTCATTAAGTGAAGCTGAATTGTGCATTAGATGAAATTGAAATGTGCACTAGGTGAAAGTGAAATGTGCAGAATAAAAGGTACGATGTGATGTTATTTTTGTACATTTTATTCCGCACATTTCAGTTTCACCAAATGCACAATTGAGTTTAAATTTTTATTCTGCACATTTCAGTATCATGTAATACACATTTCAGTTTCATCAAATGCACATTTCCGTTCCACATAATACAATCCAACGATCCAGATCCGTTCTTATTTCTCTCCTGGGAGTCCGTTCTTACCGGAGCCGCTCCCTATATATATAGTGGGGGGTTACTATTCTCATCATGCTGGCCTAACGAGATGGAAACCTTCATTTTTTTGAACCAAATAACTTAACAGTGTATTGTAACAATTTTGAACAATATACTTAACTGTGTTTTTTATATTAGATTGATTGAAAAAATATCGTTATCATTTTTTAATCTATAGATGACCCTAACACAGAAGAAATTTGTAGAAAGAAGTCGAGGAACTTGTCATGGAGGGAGGGTTAATTGTACTAAAGCATTACTTCATTTGTTTTGTGATCTTTGTATTCAATACGTAGACATAAGTAAGGGAAAAAATGGTGGAATTGTTTCACAAAGGTTGATGTCGGAAAAAATTGAGTTGGAGTCAGAGGCGTCTTGAGGAGTTTGGAGGCCCCAGACAAAAAAATTATCATATTGAAACCATAAAAAATCATATGAAAAAAACATATTCAAATTGCAGATATAACGTGAACGTCCAGAGCAAAAATTCATGAAAGAGAATTTTACTAGTTATCTAAACTTATTCTTTCTTTTGGACTAATATATAATAGAAAAATCATAAACAATAAATTAACAAAAACCAAGAATCTATAAATAAAAATGAGAAAAAATAATAATTTAGTAATACCAATACCATCACATTAATTATTTCATGCTAATAATTGAAAAAAAATAACATCATACGACGTATAATCTAATTCATACAATACCAATTTGTTTTTACCAGTATAACAATATTAACCCAGTAATTTTTAAATTATACCTATTTGTCATACATTCAACATATTAAATATTTAACTTTACACTTTTACTTCTTTAGTAGACATTGTCTCACTGTAATCACATTAAAACACTTGTAGTACTAAAAAGTTAAAATCCTTATTACCTTATTTAGACATCTACACGTGAAACGTTGCTGCCTGCTGGATGCGTACGTAGAAGATAATTTTCCTATTCTAGTTTCCAATTATTAAGTAATTATACATAGTAGTAATAGTAATAACTTTGATTTTGGAGGCCCCTTTCTCATGTAAGGCCCAAGGCTGTTGCCTGGGCTAACTCCCCCCAAAGCCTCCTCTGGTTGGAGTTTAAGAGAAAAACTAACCTACCATGGGATAAAAACAAACTCAAAAATAAGATTGATTGGATGAGAGATAGATGGACTTTATGGAAGCAAGTGAAGTCCAAAGCTATCGGATTAGGGCGGGATCACTTAAAGGGAACTATTGGGGCTACTGATGAATGGTGGACTTTAAGAATTGAGGTTAGTGTCATTTGATTTTAATTTATATTTTTTGTTTATTTAGTTCGTATACTTAAAGTGAGGTAAATTGAAATTTTATGTATTTTTATTATAGGAAAATCCAAAGTTGGAACAATTTAGAAAAGAAGGAATTGAACCAGAGCTTGAATGTAAATTCGAACAAATTTCTAGAGTTATGCGAATGGGAATCTAAAGTACACCTCAATATCTAATATGCCACAACAAACTTTACAAGATGGAGTTTGTGACATGCATGTTCTGTCTCCACCTAATACCCATATTCCCCGTGTTAGCATTGATGAGACACATGAGAACTAGTACGGGGACAATAACTCTGCAAGAAATGAGTCTTGGAATAATATGTGGAGAGATCTTAACCCTAGCCCTACCTCTGCTCATGTAGCTCCCCATGATGATACTTATATAGAAAGGGACATCACAAAACAGAATTATATGTTCATGTTTTGCATTACACAACTACATAAGAAAAAGCAAACTTGATTCGGCTTTTGATTTCATTTATGAAGATCCTGAATTTATACCCTCTGACGTTATTCCAGATGTTCAAGCTAGTACTACATAAGTTGATGATGGAATGAGAAATCATCAGATGGAGATCATTCGTGATAGCATTGCTTCTAGTTTGATGTCATAGGGATTTTATTCTTAACATTACAAATATTGCAATTCACTGTATTACGTTTTTAAGAATTGTATTACTTCTTAATATTGTTGTAGTTAATTGATGCATTTTATTGTCATACTTTTATCTATTTAATTTTAAAATAATTTACTCGCATTATGTGCGTATAATTAGCATAGTCATAACTTCGTATTAAACAAAACAAAAAAAACATGCAAATTTTTTAAAATGTCCTTTTTTGTCTTTTTACATATTATCCTCTACAAGCAAACAACAAAGTTACCAAACATCTTTCTGTAACCTGCCAAGCTAATCTGCTGGTCAAATCCACTGATTCAATCCACCATTTACTACCCGCTAACCAAATCCGCTAACCGCTAACCGTTGAGTGTCAAACAGGGCCTATGACACGTTCAGAAAAAAGTTAGACCACGTAAACTATTAACTGTATTTTATAATCAATTCTGTGCTCATTGATGTAGATACATGTCTATACATACTTATATAATAATGCCTTAATTTGCTATCATCAATTAAAAAAATGGCCATATTGGTAAAGAGGATTTAGCAGTTCAAATTTTGATTTTGTCTTCAATTATATAAAAAATTGTAAATAGTTCATTTAATACTTTTTCGTATTTCTAAAAGTTTTGATTAAAACCCATGCTTTCAAAAAATTGGGACTGTTATTTTTGTTACTAAATTTGACTTTTAAAAGTTTACTTAAAGGATGTACTCCTATTAAATATTTCATAGTGTCACAATGATGACTCTAAATTTTATGAAAACATTGGTTCCATAATGAATATATAAATGTTACTACATCATTACATTTGTGATGGTTTGAGTTGATATTTTAGAAATAATATTTCAATATATATGTGTCAATCGAACGGGATTTCAACTGAAGTAGGTTCATTGCCCATCTTCCACTAAGCAACCCCGTTTGTATAAATGTAAACAAAGGCATTCAACATCTGATACTCCTCTACACAATGTATTTCAGAGTTGCATAACAGAGTTGAAGTTGTTCTTCACATTCCTTTGCTCTTCATATCTTATTTTTTTTGCCATATGATCACTCTTAACATTTTTTACGCACTTCCCTTCTTTACTCCTCACCAAACGGAAGTGTATACTATACAACCGGTCGTACGGTGTCAACTGTACAGCCAATGGCAGTTTTATAATTTTGATGAAAAACACAGATTCTCTAAAATGAGCATTGATGCAATTTTAGTGAGCACCAAGCCCTTTTTTGAGTATTAGGAGCCCACCAATGAGCATCAGTGTTCTCTGCTCCCTATCCTTCAATTCACTTTTGTTTTATTATTTTTCAATATATGAATCTAATGTAGTAAGA